TATATTTTATATATACAATGTTTTATAATATATATATATATATATATATAATATTCATTTATATACTTTGTATTATTTTTTATTTACATTTATTTATTTTTTAATTGGGGGAGAAAAAAACACATAGACTTATGTGCATATTCAGACGTTAAGTTATGTGTACATACACATTCACCAAGGATAAATGACATCCTAATGGGAAAGAGCCTCCAATAACCTCTGACGTTTACCTCAGCTTAAAAAACACATTAGCTAACACCATGAGAGGTTCTGTATTCAGTAGGTCGAGTCTTGCTGTGGGCCAATCAGCGCAAGCAGGCTGTTTACAGTGGTGGGCTTATAGCTTTGACATAAAGCACGAATAAAAAAAGCGAGTTAAATATCCTGTTACTTAAAGATGCGAAATCTGAGCCAACGCAATCGCGGCTCTTTGTCTGACCGTAAGCGGCTTTGTCATGACACACATCAAAACTTGTTCTTATTTAACTCGAGCCCAAATTCAGTTTCATTTGGATGTTTTCTTTGATTTGCTATCTCTAGTGGATTCCTGCCGCAGTAATAAGCTATTCTGGAGTCTTTTTCCTGGATCTGAAATTAGACACATTAGTCACGGCAACATTTCTGCAGTCCTCAAAAAGATCTGAGCGCTCGAGACGGCCAGGCGTTTCTCAGAGTCTCTTATGTGTCACGTCAAATCCGCAAGGGATCGTGGGAATTCAAAATAGATTGTGGGCCAAGAAAAAGAAACATGACCATTGTTTCCTCATCAGCTGCCTGGAGATTGCGTAGAAGTTCATGAGCCGTCATTCAAATCAAAGCAGCCAAATAGCAAATCTGGAGCTGAAGGAGCGTCATTATATCTTTCACTGTTCATTTAGTTCTTCCGCATTTACTGTCTGCTGACGACGTTACTCTAAAACAGCTGTGGAACATATCTATTTATTATGAAAAACTGATCATAAGGGACTTTTGCTTCTGCTAGCTTTTAGGGCTTTAAATGATTAAAATCAAACAAACGTGATATGAACAAATACTGCTGTATATAGGATACATAAACCACCATTCAAAAGTTAGGTGACAGTAATATTTTTTAAGAAATAGTTTTATTCAGCAAGGATGCATTAAATTGATAAAGTGACAGTAATGACATTTACAAAAGATCTGTTTTAAATAATTTAATTAAGCAGAACAACTCAAATTAGCATCTTAGAATGATTTCTGAAGGATCGTGTGACACTGAAGACTGGAGTAATGATGCTGAAAATTCAGCTTTGATCACAGGAATAAATTACATTTTACTATATATTCAAATATAAACCAGTTACTTTAAATTCTAATAATATTTGACTGTTTTTATTGTATTTATGATAAAAAAATGCAACCTTGGTGAGCATAAGAGAATAAAAAACATTTAAAAACTTTAAAAAGCTTGCTGAACCCAAACTTTTGAATGGTAATGTATATAAGGCAAAAAGTATATAAGCATATAACTATATTGTGGTTTCTACTGTTACTGTTAAATAGAATTACACACACCACAAAAAAAGGTCAATGAATAAAACACAGAGTATTGTCTTCCAAAACTGAAGCAGTGTAAAGTTCAGTGGTGTGAGTGGGAGAACTGGTTTGTACCTTGCCGAAGCGTGTGGAAAATGTCCCCGTCAGGAGCGAGTGGAAAATGATGATGGTCTCATCCAGGTCCCAAATAAACACTCTCTACACACACACACACACACACACACGTTGAGCATGAACACAAATATAATCTGCTTACTCGTCAAGAAAAGTATTTACTCCAAAAACACTGCATATTATCTCAGTGCTGTGTATATGATAATAATGGCTGATAATTTTAGTCGGTTCAGCCACATTTCACAGCTTATGGGCAGACAGGCAAACTCTCTGTATCCATTGTTCATAAACATTTTACAGTTTTCTTTGTCTGGTAATCAAATACACATATCGATATTTCAATATACAAAACTAAGAAATACATGCAATAGAATCAATAGAGCAAAGAATGCATAAATTAGTCATTTTATTTCAGTCATCTTTTGTTCAAACCTGTGTGACTTATGATGATTTAGCAGAGTTTTGAAACTTTTATTTAGCTTTTGGTCATTTTTGTAAATCAGTCCTCATATGTTTATTGTATGAAAAAGATTAACTTGGACATTGTGCTAAACGTCCATTCGAAAGAAAGAAACTCATACAGGTTTGGAACAACAAAAAGGTGAGTAAAATGTCAAAATGTTAATTTTGGGTGAACTGTCCGTTTAAATTGTTGAATGAGGTTTTTGCCAGACATCATTGCACAACTCTAGGTTGGATGTGAAAGTGATCCCTGCGGTACGGAGCACAGGAATGTTAATGAAAGGCGTTGTGTAAGGGACACCGTGAAGGCCCGCGTCTGTACCTCAATCTCAGAGTCCAGAGGGGGGACGGGGTCATTGGCCCTCTTCCTGCCTCTCAGCTTCCCATCTGAGCTGCGTCTCGCTGGAGCGCCTTCCTGCTCCTTTCCTGGAGTCAGAGGACTCGTGGGAGTGTGGTACTCTGCTGTTACACACACACACACACACACACACACACACACACACACATGTGATGACATGTCATATACAGACATACAACCAAATATCTCAATACCAAAGCAAATAGTCTTGAAAGTTTTATATAAGCATATATCTTTCCCTTGGATGTTATAAGTTGTACTGAGTAAATACAGTTGGTTAAAACAAAAACTGAGTCCGTCTTTATTTCAGGCTGCAAAGCAACAAAATGTGATTATTTTAAAGGGGGGTGATTCTTTTCTATACCCACTGTATATATATATTTTTAACACATTTTTCATATATTTTTTTGTCTTACTACTTTTAATAAGCATTCCATATATCTAATATAAAAACAATACTTGCGTATGTACATCAGTCTCATCATTTCTGACCATAGAGCTCACCTGTGTGTAATTCTGGGCTGTGATTGGTCGATACAGCGGGATGATCTGTGTGCTGATAGGGTATCGCCGTGGTGATGGCTGAGGGTGCGATATTGCTGGTTGTGATGTAGGGGCTGTTGTAGTGTGTGTTGTAGTATGGCGAATATTGACTTTGGCTGTAGCTAGAATACGTTGAGAAGTCCTGATGGAGACAATGACATGAATGAATCATCTCAGACTACTCCATACTACTTAATATGTCTCGTTTTGTACATTTCTGGACCATCTAAACCCTATTGTAGCACTCATTAATGGTTGGCTAAAATGCCATGGTAGTCAAATGATACCGTAATGTACTAAAAAATGCCATGGTTTTATAATTTTAGTCGTGCTACTTTTTTTTGCAAAGCTACAACAGTATATCAGTCTCCAAGGGTGGCTGTATTCCATCAGTGAAGGTGCTGCGTGAGGCATTTTTCCTAATTTGACCCACCTGCTGTGTAGGACTGAATGGCGTTGAGCCTGTGATGCTGTTTGCACCCTGGAAAATTCCAGAAGAAATGTTGCCGCCTGGAAAAGAAGCACAAATCTAGTTTAAGAGCGTACTTCGAGCTGACTGTGGTAAAGACACTCCAAAGCGCACGATCCAACACAAACACAGCGCAGGAAACACGACAGGCAGCGGCCGAGGAATGGCTTGTGGACGGCTGGTGAAATACAGACACGTTTAACGCACTCAGAGAAAGTTAGCTTGATTTATGACTACGAAAACAGTTGAGGTGAGAAAGGGCAGTGTGGAGCCCAGAGCAAATCCGTCTCTGTTATCAGACTTTCAGAGTCTGAATGTCTTTCTCCAGGCCTGTCTAGTTCCCCTTTTTCTGTCTCATTCCCTTCATATTTCCGCTCGTTGGCTTTCTGAAACCTGCCCTAGATAAATGACTCTGTCAAAACAGCTCGAAATCTCAAAGGAAGCAAGCAAAAAGTCTTCAAAGGGGGAGAGAGGGAAGTGGGCGAACGCCGGGGCCGTGTTTCTGATTTTCTCCACAGCGGTGAAACGCGAGGACCTTTGGCACCCGGAGAAGGGTTATTTATTTCATGCTACAGCGGGTCTCCTGTTGGAATTCGCCTATAAATCAAACGAGACCGGCGAGATGCAGTGCGAGACGTAGTAAGCGCGTTTTCCCAGACCCATTAGAAATGCATCCATTTCACAAGCAGACAATTTTACAGTAAATGATGTCTCGGAACGCTTATGAATTACCGTAAATCACTGTAATACGTAATAGATTATATTATCTGCAAAAGCACTAATAACTCATTGATTATGCTAATTAGACAGACAGGAAGTAGACGTCTTGTGCATTATGATCTGTGAGACTTTAAGTCTCTTCTGCTCACCAAGGCTGCATTTAATTGATTAAAAATACAGTAAAAACAGCAAAATTGTGAAATTTTATTACAATTTAAAATAACTTTTCTATAGGAATATATGTTAAACTGTAATTTATTGCTGTTATGCGCAGCTGAATTTTCAGCATCATTACTCCAGTCTTTAGTGTCACATGATCTTCAGAAATCATTCTAATATGCTGATTTGCTTCTCAAGAAACATTTCTGATTATTATCAATGTTGAAAACAGTTTTGTGTGAAGAATAGACTGATATTCAAATCAATATTCCCTGAAAATCTTCCCTTCCACTGTAGCACTTAATATCATTCACACATTTGGCATGAATAGTAGTTACTATTACAGTTTTTGTTAATATTTAAAATGTTTATATTTTCAGTTTTCATTTCAATTTTAGTTAAATTTTTAGTCATTTTGTTATGCACTTTTGTCAGTTCATTAGTTTTCATTTTTTAATATTATAATTTCATATAAATTAATTTCAGTTTTAGTTCAGTTTTCATTTTTATTTATTTCCATTTAGTCATTTCGGTGCTTAAACTTATTGCAGTTAGTTTCAGAGGCAACATTTCTAAACTTTACGTTTTCATCTATTGATGTTTTTTTTTTTTTTATTCAGCTTATTTCAATGAACAAAAAGGTTTTTAATCATTTTCATTAACGATAATAATAACCCTGCCTCACACAAAGCTATCATATGGCTTTATAAGACTTTATTATCAACATTTATGTTGCTTTTTCACCCTTGATGTCCTTGTTTTGTCCCTGGACAGCCCGTGGCCACTATTTGCTTTCACTGCATGGAAAAAGCACCTCTAATTCTCTTCAAAGCATCTCCTTTTGTGTTCCACGGAAGAAACATCATAAGGCTTTGGAACGACATGCGGGTGAGTAAATGATGATGACTAGTAAATAATTCTGTTCCTTTAACCCTGAAAACGTGCCTGGTGCCACTTCACCTTTGACCTTGACCAAGAGCGGTCAATTTCACACTGCGGTGCCAAAATCAGGACTGCGGGCAGAAGACGGGGGACTGACTGCTGTCCGACGCTCAGATCACACTAACACGCTCCTCCAATGGCCGGCGTGTTGCGGAGGGGAGCGGAGAAAGGTTCTGACCTCCTGAGAGAGCAGAGAGAGACGCCTGACGCCAGGAGCCAGACCGCGGATAATGGGGAACAGGTGTGTGTGTGTGTGTGTGCGTTGGGGGGGATCGACTGTAGATGGCACCTGAAAAGCTGTGTGTGTGTTTGTGGGGATTTTGCTAACTATCAACCCAACATAGATGTTCAAAACCATGTGTATTTTTTTGTATTGCGAGTTAAAATATTATCAACTAGAATTTTCATAAATATATTACACAATCTTTGGGATATGCGATTCTGATTGGTCAAATATGTTTGTATAATGATGCTAAACTGTATAATTGACTGTTAGGTAAGCAATTTCCAACATGGCTGCACTAGATTCATGCCATAGTTCTGAGCTCCATGTCTCAAGTTTTTTTCTGTAGCAGTGACAGGCTGACTGTATGTTATTTATTTTTTATTTTTGTAAAGAAATTAATACTTTTATGCATCAAGGATGAATTAAATTGCTCAAAAGTGACAGTAAAGACATTCTGTTCTTTTGAACTTTCTATTCATTAAAGAATCCTGAAAATAAAAATGTACCACGGTTTCCGCAAAATTATGAAGCAGCACAACTCTTTTTAACATTTATAATAATCGGAAATGTTTCTTGAGCAGCAAATCAGCATATTAGAATGATTTCTGAAGGATCATGTGGCACTGAAGACTGGAGTAATGATGCTGAAAATTCAGCTGCAGATCACAGAAATAAATTACATTTTATAATATACTCACATAGCAAACAGTTATTTTAAATTGTAATAATATTTCTGATTATTACTGTTTTTACTGTTTATTTGATCAAATAAATGCAGCCTTGGTGACAGAAGACACTTCTTTCAAAAACATTAAAAAAAAAAAAATCGTACAGATCCCCGAACTAGGAACAGTAGTGTGCACATTTTTGTTGTATATATATATATATATATTTATATAATTTATTTATATTAGTCATTCAAAAACTAAAATTCCTTTTCAAATTACATTTTAAAGTTAGCCTATTACATATAGAGAATTTTAATTGTTTGTAATTGAACAGTCATGTAAATTACGATGGACACTTTTTGGCCACTAGATATATTTACTGAATTCACATGCTCAGAAAATCCAGATATTATTGAATAATTCCCGCAATAATTCACTCAGTGTTTATGTTTGCGGCAGCAGATCAAGCACTAACAGGAAAGGGGGACTAAAGGTCAGTTGCACACCACTTGTCCTTATTTTCTCTGCATGCAAAGTGACCGGATGCATATTTCCGATACTTTATTGCATGGTTTATTGCTCATTCCAACCTCTAAAATACCATGTAGACAAAATTGTTTACCAAGCTGTTTTATCACATGAAATGATAATATGTGGCTCTTTCAGAGGCGGTTGTGAGTGACACTGACCGTGTGTGGAGTAACTGTAGAGCGTCTGAGCAGGTGGAGTGCCGCTGAAGTTGGACGTGTATCCCAGCAGACTGCTCTGTCCTGGTGAATGACTCAAACCATCTTCTGTTTTAATATCTGATCAGGTGAGAGAAAGAGACACGACCAGCTGTCAGGTCAGCAGTGATGTGCATTACGTAGGGCGGGTGTGAAATGACACTCACTGTAGGACGTCATGCTGTAGCCCTGTGTGTACGGTGTGTACGGACCGGCCGGCTGTAACGCAGGGCTGTACTGTGTCTGTCCGTAAGCAGCCATGGCTGAGGACAGCGGGTCTGTCAAAGCAAAGAGTTGTAGTTAGCGAAACAGCTCTTAAGAATAACTAGATAAAAAAGTTAGTCAAGACAAACTTTAGGTTGGCTTGAGAAAGCCTAGCCTGAAAGTTTAAAGTAGTTGTAAAAGCCTGAAGTTTGAAAATTTAGATAGATTACATAGATGTTGATAACATGTGTGATAGCATGATTAGCATGTTTTTAACATGATTGGCCTGTTACTGGCATATTGCTGGCATGATTAGCATGTTGCTAGCATGATTAGAAAGTAACTAGTATGTTGCTAGCATGATTAGCCAGTAACTAGCATGTTGTTAGCATGATTAGCAAGTTACTAGCATGTTGCTAGCATGATTAGCATGCTACTAGCATGTTGGTACCATGTGGTAGCATGATTAACAAGTAACTAGCATGTTGCTAGCATGATTAGCACGGTACTAGCATGTTTTGCTAGCATGATTATCACTAGTATGTTGCTAGCATGATTAGCAAGTTACTAGCATGTTGCTAGCATTATTAGCATGCTACTAGCATGTTGCTAGCATTTTTCTAGCGTGATTAGCATGTTACTAGCATGTTGGTAACATGATTAGCAAGTAACTAGCATGTTGCTAGCATGATTAGCAAGTTACTAGCATGTCGCTAGTATGTTTCTAGCATGATTAGCTTGTTACTAGCATGTTGCTAGCATAATTAGCAAGTTACTAGCATTGTCACTAACATGTTTTAGAATTTTTATTTTGTTGTGTTTTTATTTAATTAAAATATAAACATTATTTTTTTTTATTTTGTTTGGTGTTTTGTAACTTCTTTTTTTTTTTTTATATGTCTATATACTGTAATTTTATACATTTTTATTTCAGCTTTATTTTTATATTAATACATCATGGTATACAAATTGAAAATGAGAAAAGTTTCTTTGGAAATAAAATAAGTTTAAGTTTTTGATTCAAATTTGATTTTAATTTATGTCAGTTAACATTTATTTTATTCAAATAACAACCTTTTTTCTCTCCTTGGTGCATTATAATAACCCTGTCTCAAACTCGTGAATTTTCAATTCTTCAAATTTACTAAAAGAAAAGAATCGTTAATGGAATTGTTATCGGAATCATTAACAAGTCCAATTTGTGATTTTTATTTTTTTTTAAACAAATTACTCTTATGAGCTTATTAGTGCTGTCAAATCAATTAATCGTGATTAGTTGCATCCAAAATAAAAGTTTGTGTTTACATAATATATATGTACTGTGTATATTTATATGTATACATAAATACACACATACATGTGTATATTTAAGAAATATATGTAAAATATATTTACACAAAATATGATCCATATATAAATATGAATATATTCAGTATATACAAGTAAATATTTCTTAAATACATACATGTATGTGTGTGTATTTATATATACATCAAAATATACACAGCACACACACATATATTATATAAACAAACTTTATTTGGAATGCGATTTATCACGATTAATTTAATTGTATTAACTGATTAATCGATTTACATGAGGCTAATTTGTGATCAGTCCATTAAAAAGAACCGTTTCATGAGAGTCATTTGTTTATGAATCAAACTCCACTGGTTGTGCTGTTTGTTCAAATACATACATCTCAAAACCATGAGTAATCAATTCTTCGAAAGTACTAAAAGAATCATTAATGGAACTGTTAAGGAATCTGATCATTAAGTGGAATCCAATTAAAAAGCAAATGACTCGTATGAGCTGGTTCTTTTAAATGAATCAAACAAATGAACCGGTCTCTAATTGATGAGTTATCAATTGTTTAAACTAAGATTCCTTAATGGAATCATTAAGGATTTTGAATAATTAAGTGGAATCCAATTCAGGAATGAATGACTCTCATGAGCCGTTTATTTTTGTATCAGCCATTGGGGTAAGAAAAATTCACTTTTTTCTGAAAACAAGTTTTATCTTGCACTTTCTGCTCCTTAAGTGCATGCATCTTGTTTTAAGGATGATGATTTAGATTTTTTATTGGAAAACAATCCAAATACACAAAATAATGATCTTTAAAAAAGCATCATATGACCCCTTTAAGAAAAATATTTTTACATTGTACAAGTGAAGCCCAGTGTGAATAAAAATAGATGTAATATCACTCACATGGCCTAAAATCGTCGCCCAATGTGTGGCTACTGTGAATAAAAGAAACACTTTAAACATTCATCTGAACCACCCTGAATGCACTAGAGGAAGTTCATTAAATCCAAAGTGTGAAGTGTGCAGACCTGTGGCTGTCTGTCGTCGTACTTCCGCTTGCACGCGTTCAGCTGTCAGCTCTCCTGAAAAAGACAGACCTGTTTGTCAGAAATATGTGACCTAAAAAGCACACCGGGCTTCGGTCCAACATCACGCATCTCCAAAGTAAAAAATATGCAGAAGGAACCAGAACATAAGAATGCAGAAAGCGCTATTCATGTCTAATCGTGTCTTGCACAGGAAAAAAAGGTGAACGGACAGTATTTCTCAATGACTAGGCACCTGCGGTTTCCAAAAACACACATCATTAGAATTGTGAGATACAGACAACAGTGAAACGCTTGTTTGTATAAACCGGCTCGGTAGGACTGTGTTCCTGGAACAGAACAACGTGTAACCTGCTTCTTCAACCTGGCTGGCATAATTTGGCATTGTAAACCGCAGGCAGAAGTTCTGAATGCCAGAAGTTCAGGATGGCCGAAAAAACTGTGGTTGTTCTTGTGCCTGAAATATAAGAAATGCAACCGTCCCCGTTCTGTTCTGGTCTGGTAATGGCAAGGTGCGGTACATGCATGTAGGAATAGTTTGCATGAATACAAATGAGAGAAGATAAGGGTGAAACACCGCAAATGACCTTGTAACCTTGACCTTTTTTTCTTTTTTGCTAACCCAGAGAAAATTGTATTGCACGCTTTCCTTTCAGCATCAATTGTAGAAACTTTAGAAGAAAAAACATATAGGCAAAATAACATATAGGCAAACTTTTCATTTGTGAGAATCTGATGAGACATTTTGGAGTTTGCATTGAAATCTCTGGTTTTTGATTGAGATATATGACCCGCCTCAACTTCCTGTTTCAAAAGGAAACATGTCAACACAGGGCAGAAAACTGTGCCTGTCATATAATAAAGTCTGTATTTCTTTTCTTATTGCTGTCTATGAGAAATATGATCATATTTGCTTTTATGTCACATTAACTACTGCACATTGTTGTTTTAGTATCACTGATATACTATTACATTTTTGTATAAAATTAGAGTTTATTTATATATTTAAATTTTCATTTTGAGTTTTTGTCATTTTATTGTGTTTATTGTCATTTTTATCAGTTTTTGTAATCAGGTTTTTTATAATTAACTAAAACTGAATCAAAAATTTAAAACAAAACAAATTTCGTTACTTGAAATACATTTTTTATTTCAGCTGGTTTCCAAGGCAACATTTCTCATTTTAATTTAGTTTAACTGTGCTAAAATAACTAAAGCTAAAATGGAAATAAAAATTCATAAAAGTATGAATACATAACTCCCCCCCCAAAAAAAACTATTAAAAATGACAAAAACAAAATTACAAACATTTTAACTAAAATTAAAATGAAAACAGAAAGTAAAAACTGATTTAAAATATTAATAAAAATTATAATAGTATCTCAATGCCACTGTTTAAAATATGTCTAGTTCTTGTTAACTTTTATTTCATTTATGATTATTTTATTGTTTCTATTTAAACTAAAAGATAATGAGAAATTATGCCTTGGCAACTGAAATAAAATAAGTATTTTTTTTTATATTAAAAAGTATATAAATTTTTAAATAATTATTTATATATTTTTTATAAATGTTTTTTTTTTATGTTTTAGTTTTAGTTATCGATAATAACCCTGCTACTGCGGTACCAGAATAAACATCTCATTTTTTTATATTAAAAAGTATATAAAGTTTTAAATAATTATTTATATATTTTTTATAAATGTTTTTTTTTTATGTTTTAGTTTTAGTTATCGATAATAACCCTGCTACTGCGGTACCAGAATAAACATCTCATGCTGCCAAAACCTGGCTCTCATCTCGACTAAGACACACGCTTGCCGTAAGGTCGCTTCTGACAAAAAGAAGCAAAAAGCTGTTGTCTTCCTCTAAACTTCTCCCTGTTTCTCCCTCAGGGCTCCTCCATCTGTCGGCCGGGGCGGAGAGACGCTCGATGTGAGCAATATCAAGAGAGCAGCTGCTGTCAGGAGCAAAGATGGAAAAGGAAGGGCAGCAAAATGGTGAAATAAGAGCCAAAATGAGAGCTTTCATACAATTACACAAGAGTGGGCATGTACATGTGCGATTGACCTCAAACGCAGACTTTTTTTAATTAATCTGACAGTTCAGACAGCAGCGAGGTGAATGATGGTTTGGCGCCTGCGGTTGGGTGGCACTCAGCGAATGTTTAAAACAAACAGAGACAATGTCTCGCTGCTGCTCGCTCTGTTTTCTCAGTAAACAGTTGCGACACTACCGTACAGCATATTTGTGATTAAAGAAACATATCACGTGACTGTCATAATGACAGCAAAGCTGAAATAATTACATTTCTTAATGTGTCAAAGGTGAAACATTTTCCAGTTCAAAAGTTTTAGCTCTTAAGAAATGCATAGTACTTTTGAATGACGTGTGATAGGATTTGATCGAGTTTTTCAATGGCGGAAAATGATGTTGTATATCTAAAAAGTGCTTATATAGTGCTGATGCATATGAGTTGCATGCAAACTTAAAAGCTTATTTTGCACATTTATTTAAAATGCAATAAAAAATTGGTGGTCATGGTTATTGGCCTGATTGATCAACCAAATATTAGGCAATTTATCGGCCTGTATTTCCACAAACGCATTGTTTCCACCAACAGGAGTCAATATAAACTCTAAGACTTCTAATTGACCACCAAGACACAGAAAAAAAATAAATAAAAAATGTGCGCATTTCTGTTTTTAAATCTATTAACTTGTAAGATAACATTTCACTATATATGCAATCTTCTTGGTTCTCACATAAATTCTTGTGCTTTTTTATACTATTGTAATTTGTACATAAAAGAGCAACATCAAACAGTGTTATTATTGCTAATTAAAACGATTCAAAATCGTTAATTGAAATAAAGCTGAAATAAAATATAAATATTAGATGAAAAACTTGAAAAATAAAAATTAGAAATGCTGGCTTGGGTAACTAACTGAAATAAAATAAGTTTAAGTAGTAAATTTACTACTAAAATAAAATAAAAATAAATTAAAGCTAAATAGAAATATTTAGAAAATAAAGGGTAAAAAACTAAATAAACCTGAAAAAAGCACATCCGAAAATTATAGAAACTTAACGATAAAAACTGAAAATATAAAAATAAAAGCTTATT